GTTGTGTGTGTGTGTGTGTGTGTGTGTGTGTGTGTGTGTGTAATATATATACACACACACACTATTTCTTACACAGTGTTCAAGGAAAAAAATTAGTGAGTCAATATGGAGAAGGAAAGAGTTTCCAGATAGTATTTTGTTCTCTTTACATTTTGTGGTTTGTCGTTTGATTTAAAAAAAATAAAAAAAATCATCTCTGAATAAAATGTTTGTGTGCAACAAATTTCAGTTAGCTAAGAACCTTTTTACAATAGAAGTGTTCGCAGGCCATCAGCTAGAAGGCCCAGTGCAATTATAAAATGTATGTGTGTATATATTATATAACTTCCAAAATATGGGACCTTCATGGCTACCTGAATATTGCAGCATGGCACCATTGAAGTCGTGCATTCATTGTATATGGTCATCTTTTTAGAAGTATACCATAACTACACCTCTACCCGGATATAACGCAGTGAAGCAGCGCTCTGGGGCGGGCGGGGCTGTGTGCTCCGGCAGATCAAAGCAAGTTCGATATAACGCAGTTTCACCTATAACCTGGTAAGATTTTTTGGCTCCCGAGGACAGCGTTATATCGGGGTAGAGGTGTATTTTTGACAATTTGTAGATTTAGTGTCGTAGTTAAAATATGTAGCCGCTGTTTAAATTTTAGCCTGAGGGCTAAGAAAGTAATGTGAAAATGTTCTCATCACATATTCTCACAAGCTCTTTAACTGTGCTAGTCCATAGGCAACACTTCAGAGAGTTTTTGTTCAGAAAAATATCACTGTCTTATTGCTTTTCTATTTTTTTAAATTAAAACACCACCTACCACTTGAATGAGTATATGCAATTGTAAAAAGACACCGGAGGGATAAATATATAAGAGAGTCATTCATACCCACAGTGTAAAGGACAAATAGACACTTTTCCTCAAATCCACTAAGTACACTAGATCAAGTTGGTTCAGCAAACAACACCAAAGCAGAACACCGCAGCTGGCTCCGACATTTTGTCTTTCAATACTACTCCCAGTCTGCACCTTCGTTTACATTTTTAAAGCCTGCTGCTCATCTTTGAATAGATTTCTAGACTTGAAAAATCATCTTCCCTGACACAGAAATACAAGCACTACTTTACTTTCCAAATATTGACAAGCAGGCAGCAGAAAAATAAAATTTTCTATCTCCTGTCCTCTCACCTACATGAAATACAGCTAACGGAAGCACACAGCCAAAAGCAGAGGCAAAGCTGCACATGACAGCAGTATTCAAGAGCACTACACATTTTAGTCACACTGATATTTTCCTCACAAATATTGTAGTCAATCATCTTATGAATTCCTGTTGGATAAGTATTACCTATATAATAATAGTGTTGGCCAAACTTCTGAGGGAGAGCTATGAAAGCTGAAACCTCGAGTGAGTTATGATCTCCTGTGTAGTCAGCAGAGCATCTAAAATTGGTGTACTGTGGCCACCATTCCAGAACCTGTACTTTATATATAAATTCATAATATCAAACTCTTCTGACCCACAACAGAAATTCTATGGCATGTGTTATTCAGGAAGTCAAAGATAGTCCTAATGGATGGTCTTCTGGCCTTAAAATATATGGGAGAAATCCTGGCCTCATTGAAATCAATAGCAAAACTCCCATTGCCTTCAGTGAGGCCAGTATTTCATCCTGTGAATCTGAGAAATGAAGCCATTTCTGATGTGAAACATAAAAGCTCTTTAACAGAGCATGACAATATTACACAACTGTGTACTGTAGGAAGTGAAAAATACCTTTATCCAGTTGGAAAAAAGGGTCAGTTTGGGGTTACCACCAGGAATTTGGGCTGGTTGCTGGAACATACACACAACTCTTTTTGAAAAGTGCTATAGGATCTTTAATGACTACACATCATGATGATGTCTAGCTTTTATATCATGCTTTACAAAATATCTCAGTATCATTATCCCCATTTTACAGATGTGGAAACTGAGGCACAGAAACTGGGGAAGTGACTTGCCTAAAGTCACCCAGCAAACCTGGGTACTATTCCTGGGTCCTGAAGTCCTGACTCCAAGTCCAGTGTTCTGTGTCCTAGGCCATAAAACTTCATTTGTCTCCCATCCAAGTATGGACTAGGCCCACCCATCCTGAACATGTGAAATCTGACCGCATCTTAGTGGAAGGTGGGATGACTGGACATACTGTTGGCTTTTTGCTTTGTGTTTCTCTTTAAATCACGGTATCTTCACCTTTATGCATATTAATCTGCTTACTATTTCTGGGGAGTTGTAAAGAACTTTAATAAGCCACATTATTCTCTTTCGGCCAATTAGAATCAAGAATAAGTGTAAGCTACAGTATTTCTTATTTAAAAAGCTGTTATACTGGCATATTGTGCATGTCACAATGGCACTATGCTCATTGTTTCATAGACTGCAGTACCCAAAGCTATAAGGGATGTCAAGTTACATAATCAGACTTAAGTCCAGCGTTCCAGACGAGTACTAATGAAGCTCTAAAAGTAGGGAAGAGGTATTTAGAGGATCCGCCCCGCTGAATTTGTAATGAGGATACATGAGAATCAACAAGAGCATTATTATTACACTCAAATACACAAAAATGACTGTTATACACTGGTTTAGTGTGTGATCCTGTCTGTCTCTAGGGGCTGGCCCTGGCAATGATAAATCAAATGGGGCTTTTTTTTCCTTTTGGTGTTGAAAGTCCCAGATCAGGTCTCTGTTGATAACAGTTGTATTTGTCTGATTGTGGCCATAATTCTTTACAATGAAACCCCACACACACTAGCATGGATTACACCCTGTCCCTGTTTTGCCCATATGTAGGTTAGTGTTGCCAAAGTGTTGGACGTACTCTTGGCAGTTTCATCACATGACGTAATCTTTACTTAAAGATTAATCTTTAATTCCTGGAGACTCCAGGGCAATCCTAGAGGGTTGGCAACCCTAATGTAGGGACGTGGTTTGATGCGGCTCAATACTTCATCTTGGGAATCTTGAGACACTAGCTCCTCAGTTCATTCTACGACAACCAGTGGGAGAGCCTGTGTAACAAGGGAGACCAAAAGCCACGTCATCGCTCTAAACAGACTTTTTCAACCTGTACTCCCTTTTCCCTTGTTCCTGCCAGTGTTATGCCACCACCTCCCTCCCTGCATTATTTCCTAAACTTCCCCAAAATGACTCTGTGTGGGTAAACAGTACAATATTTTAGGGGGCTGGAAATGTACTTTAAAACAGTACAAATGAAAAAAAAGTGTGTAAAACAGAAATAAAATCTTTTTAAAACTTTGTGTACTGTCTTTTTTTCATATACATTTGAAATAACTCTATCTCTCCCTTTAAATAAATGTGTGCATTATAAATACCATATATCAACAATACTGCGTAACAAACACTCATTTGGTTTAACAGCAGCTCTTTACTTCTATCTTCCTCTACCTCCTCTTTTTGGTTGTTTTCCCCCTTTGAAGGGGGAAGAGGCACTGTTGGGGAGGGAATTCAGATTGACCCCAAATTTGCCAATAGAAATCCTGGATTAAGTTAATAACATTACTAAGAATAATCAGCTGTGTTTGCTGTGCTCTGCTTGATTCATGATCACATGGAAAGTAATGGTTGTAAAACAGGAAATTAAGTGTTTCTGTGATGTCTGTTTCAGCCATGGGAACAAAGAAGTATTTTCTTGTAGAGGAATAAAATTGGCAGTAGACTGGTTTTTGGAAAGACGCCACAAAGATGTTACAGTGTTTGTGCCAGCATGGAGAAAAGAACAGTCAAGACCTGACGCTCTTATCACAGGTAAACTCTGTTCTGACATCACTGCCTTAAGTTTTGTTTTGTATAAAGTAAGAGATTCCTAATGACTAATTGTGAGCATTAACTGAACAAACCATTTGAAATTATTTTTTTTTTATACAGTAAGACATCTTTGGTCTAAGACCTTTTCAGTGAACTCCAGGTGGGGAGGAAAAAGGCAAGGGAATGTATAGCCAGTACACAGCAAGACCCCATTGTTTTGTGTGCTTGCCAGATGAGCTTTCCCTGAAAGTTTCTAGTTAAATCTCTAAGGTTGTGGATTTTTTTTTTATCCATCTGCTGTATATCATTAAAATGAAATTTTTTGAAAGAATTGTAGTGAGTATGTAGATGATCGTAGCTGCTCAGAAACAAATTCCTTTTAATGATCGGGAAGAATATCTTTTTTTGTTGTAAGGTAGTTCCAGTAATACATACTGTACTGATGGGCAACAGTAGTACCAATGGGCTGCATCTGAGAGGAGAAAGGCGTACCCCCTTGCTCTGTTGGTTTTTTTCATATACTAAATTTAGTCTTAGAAAGTCTTGAGTGAAAACTCAAAAGTCTTGAGTCAGCCAGTGCACGGAAATCCACCCAATAATGTCTTCTAGAGAAGATGGACTTCTAGGTGACTGCTTTGAGTGGAGTTCAAATTGAAGAAATCTGTTTACAGGGATAAGAGGCTCTTACAGAAGCTACTTTCTTTTGTGGACAGAAAGTCCCGTCCCTTTTGGGTAACAAATGGAACCCCTCTTGGAAGTGTGATTCAGGGGAAGCTGAATGACTCCATTGAGAAACTGGTGTTATGCTTTGCCTTTTTGGTGCTCCAAAACATAGAAAAAGAAAACAATTTGATCTGAATGTGCTTGTTCTTCCCAGGTAAAAATGAAGGACTTGCACCAGGGCAGGATCCTTTCTCTTTATCACATTTTGGATTATGGCAGAAGAGAGGGAGGGCAATTTCTTGATTCAATGTGAAAGCTAGAATTTTTCTTTCAAGTTAAGCTGAATAGAGTTCTCAAGACCACTCGTTCAAGGCAAAAGATAATGAAACAAACTCTGCAATAAAAGCTGCAATTTGTCCTTGCCTTCTGGTTGAAGAAATGGCTCCTAAAAATGCCACCTAAAATGAAAGAAAGTTCAAATGAATAGTCACCGTAGTTTCTAAAGAAAAGTAGCAGAGTATTTTGAGCACCAGACTTCACTACCAAAATGGAGTGATCTTTGCAGAATTAGAGTTTTTATTTGCTCAATTACTTTTAGAACATGCCTTATTAAGGACGAGCTACCACCTGGAAACATTTGTTACATCCCACCATAGCATTAAATGGAGGATCTGTCTCTCTGAAGTACTAAGAGACTGATTTTATGATAGGCTGCATTGAAGATAAGAAAATAAGATATTTGTAACTCAGAGGAAATATTCCTATAAGCATGTCATAAAGGGCAGGCTCAGTTGTGCTGGTCAGTAGTTACTTGTGTTGGAGATTTGGGAAGGACATCAGTCAGACAGCTTTTGACCTTCAGACTTAATTCATCCCAAGCTATGGCTGTAGATGATGATGGTGGAGTGGGCCCTGCAACAGAGGGTTTTGAAGACGAGGCCAAGCCTAGAGTCAGTAGGTTTTTCTGGAGCTATAAGAATCCATTTTACCTTGTCCAATTGTCTCTCTGTCAGCACCTTGGCAATGAGAGGAAAAGTAAGAAGTGGAGAAAGCACGGAAGTCTATTGCTAGCATATTCTTGCATCTTCTGTAGAACAGAGGCACTTCACAGTTATCTTTTGCAACAAGTCTATGGGGAGTTCCCTTATTCAGAGTCATAGATTCCAAGGGCAGAAAGAACCATTGTGAACATCTAGCTTGACCTCTTGTATAACACAGGCCGTAGAACTTCCCCCAGATAAATCCTAGAGCATATATTTTAGAAAAACATCTAATCTTGATTGAAAAATTGTCAGTGATAGAAAATCCACTACTATCCTTTGTAAATTTTTCTAATGGTTAATTATTCTAGCCATTAAAAATGTACACCTTATTTCCAGTCTGAATTTGTCTAGCTTCAACTTCCATCCAGTGGATCATGTTATACCTTACTCTGCTAGATTGAAGAACCCATTACTAAATATTTGTTTGTCGTGTAGGTACTTGTAGGCTGTAATCAAGTCACCCCTTAACCACCTACTCTTTGTTAGATTCAAAGACCTCATTATATTTAGTTTATCACTATAAGCCAGGGGTGGGCAAACTACAGCCCATGGGCCATGTCCGACCTGTCAGACGTTTTAATCTGGCCCTTGAACTCCCACTGGGAAGCGAGCTCTGGGGCTTGCCCTGCTCCGGTGCTCCAGCTGCAGAGCAGGAATGGGAACTTGCCCCGCTCTGCGCATGCCGTGGCTCCACATGGCTCCCGGAAGCAGCAGCATGTCCCCCCTCCAGCTTCTATGCAAGGGGGCAGCCAGGGGGCTTTGCATGCTGTCCCTGCCCTAAGTGCTGTCCCTGCAGCTCCCATTGGCCTGGAACCATGGCCAATGGGAACTGCAGGGGTGGTGCCTGCAGCTGGGGCAGCACACACAGCTGCCTGGCCAGCTCCATGTAGGAGCCGGAGGGGGGAAATGCTGCTGCTTCCACAAGCTGTGGGGGGTGGTGCCTGCGGACGGGGCAGCGCGCAGAGCTGCCTGGACACACCTCTGCTTCGGAGCTGGAGGGGGGACATGCCGCTGCTTCTGGGAGCTGCTTGAGGTAAATGCTACCCAGAGCTTGCTCCCTTGACCTCCTTCTGTGCCCATGCCCCAGCCCTGATCTCCCTCCCCCTGCCCTCCGGAGCACCCTCCTCCACCCCAAGCCCATCATCCCCACCCCAGAGCCGTCACCCCCTCCCGCACCTCAACTCCCAATTTTGTGAGCATTCATGGCCCACCATACAATTTCCATACCCAGATGTGGCCCTTGGGCCAAAGAGTTTGCCCACCCCTGCTATAAGCCATGTTTTCTATTCCTTGAATCATTTTTGTGGCTCTTCTGTGAACCCTCTCCAATTTATCAACATCTTTCTTGAATTGTGGGCATCAGAACTGGACACAGTATTCTAGCAGCTGTGGCACCAGTGCCAAATATAGAGGTAAAAGAACCTCTCTACTCCTACTCAAGATTCCTGTTTATGCATCTCAGGATCGCATTAGCTCTTTTGGCCACAGCATCACATTGGAAGCTCATGTTCAGCTGGAACACTCAAGCCTTTTTCAGGGCCACTGCTTCCTATGATAGTGTCCCATTAAGTAAGTGTAACCTACATTCTTTGTTCCTAGATGTATACATTTACGTTTAGCCATATTAAAACCTGTGTTGTTCGCTTATGCACAGTTTATCTAGCGATCCAGATCACTCTGTATCACTGACCTGTCCTCTTCATTATTTACCACTCCCCAATTTTTGTGTCATCTGCAAACTTTAGCAGTGATGATTTTGTTTTCTTTCAGGTCATTGATAAAAATGTTAAATAGCATGGGGCCAAGAACTGATCCCCACTGGAAACAAAACCACTTAATCACAGTTTCCCTTTGACAATTACATTTTGAGATCTGCATCCTGAAAAATCTGGTGAAATAATTTGTGTATTCAGACTCAACTGAAACATGTGGCGTTCCTGAGTTTTGAAGAGGTGTTAGATGGAATAGGTGTAAAAATGGTGGTGATTGAAGAACAGGACATAATCTTTGAAGCACAGCCTTTTTGCTTTATCAGTGGTCATCTAAATATGACAGAACTTGAATCCTGTCATAATGAAGAACAGCTACTATTCCATTCAAAATTTTAATAAGTCATTGGGCAATAGGAAGATTGAAAGGAAGGACTGGGTACTGAAAACACTGGTCTTTGAATCTTAAGTATTTCTAATGAGTAGAACAATTGATACACCAAATACAAATCTTACAGATCTGTTAATGCTAACATTTCTTCCTATGACATTTTTGTTCCAGGCAGAAGAGATTCTGTCATGAGTTTTTTGTACTCCAAAAAGCAGTTTAGCTATCTGAGGTCAAAAATTGCTTGTAAGCCTATCGAGCACGTCAACACAGGGAACAGAGAGAAAATGCCTTTGTGATCCAACGGGACCCATGAAATGGCATTTCTCCAAGGTGTTAAATACCCTTGTTTAACAGGATCAAGGAGCTTCTGTGGTTTTGATTTGGCCTGTTTTTGTGGGTTGAAAGGAAATGAGACATTTGACCTTTAGAGAAGGGAAACAAATTCTATATCATTATTCATTTGTCTGACAATACGGATGGAAACTTGAATTTGTTCTGAAACTTAGTGACGCAGCTGTGAAGCCAGCTTTTTTGTGGGCCCTGTCAGAAGGTAGTTTAGAGTGTGCACGTTTGTGAGAAATGGAGGCAATGTAATGTCCACAATACCAGACTTCGCAACCGGCTGGAAAATGGGTTCCTGTGTGCAATAGTACCAGTGCCTCCTTGTGGGGGAGAGTCCTCTTTCTGCTGATTTTTTTTTTCTCCCTATCTGTCTGTCAATCACTTGTGGAGAGAGGAGGCCCCATTAATATGGACTACTGGGACAATTTCAGAAGCTTAACCTCCGTGAGTACCAAGTGAGGATGAAGAGATCTATCTTTACTTAAGAATGCGGTCATTGGACAACCTTGATTACAGTCAGGATACAATAGGACATGGCCACGCAGTACCGGGCGGAGTGGGGAGCTCCTATGCCTCGTGTGAGCTCTCCTCCTGCCATCAGAGCAGTTTGGGATTTTTACTCTTCTAACAACCAAACTTGGGAAATAGTGTATCTGTTAACCGCTGCAGAGCTAGCAAAGAGAGCGCAAAACGCAGTCTTCTCTGTTGATCTGATAAAAATGGTATAGAATGAATTTGTTTTTTTAAACGTATTGGTTGATTGCTGAATGTAAATTTAAAATAATATACATCAGATGCTTTCTACTGAATTATAACTATTTTAAGGTGAGGCATATTTTGGCACTAAAAACTTTGACCTTCCGCCGCAACCTTAAGATCTGTCAAGATGAACGAATTCCTGGTTTCACTTCAGACATTAAATCTTTGACTATTTCTTAATACTTCTAGATCAAGAAATCCTGCGCAAGTTAGAAAAAGAGAAAATTCTGGTGTTTACACCATCCCGTCGTGTGCAGGGGAGAAGGGTGGTATGCTATGATGACAGATTCATAGTGAAGCTGGCCTTTGAGTCAGATGGTATCATTGTGTCTAATGATAACTACAGGGATCTAGCTAATGAAAAGCCAGAATGGAAAAAGTTCATAGATGAGCGATTGTTGATGTATTCATTTGTCAATGACAAGTAAGTAATCTTGATTTTGTACCTCTTGTTAGAAAACTAATGGCAAAAAGGGCATTTTGAGGGCTTCCATTAACATGTTGGATTCCATCAAAATTATTAGCTACACATGAGAAAATAAAAGGATGTTGTAGTTCCAGGCTCTGCTCCTAATCTTCTAAACCTTCAAACTCTGCTTTTTGCCAATGCTCTCCATAATGGTAATAACCACTATCAAAATGTATTATTTACCTTTCCCACCTGTCCTGGAAAGAACCCAAAGATTGAAAAAGGATTAGACTACTTACTGGGCTCATGTAATTCCCATGATGCTCAGATACTTTGTATATTGAGTGTATTCCATAGTATAAAATACCTAGGTGATAGTTTTGCTTTGGCTGTTCTGTGAACAACAAAGAATCTTCAGTCATTTCTAAGACCGGCAAGCCTGACTTCAGTACTGGGGCAAACTAGTTGAAACCATATTAAGAACAGAATTCTTGGACACATAGATGAATATAATTTGTTGGGAAAGAGTCAACATGGTTTCTGTAAAGGGAAATCATGCCTCCCCAATCTACTAGAATTCTTTCAGGGGGTCAATAAGCATGTGGATATAGTGTACTTAGATTTTCAGAAAGCCTTTGACAAGGTCCCTCACCAAAGGCTCTTGAGCAAAGTAAGCTGTCATGGGATAAGAGGGAAGGTCCTCTCAAGGATTGGTAACTGGTTAAAAGATAGGAAACAAAGGGTAGAAATAAATGGTCAGGTTTCAGAATGGAGAGGGGTAAACAGTGGTGTCCCCCAGGGGTCTATACTGGGACCAGTCCTATTCAACATATTCATAAATGATCTGGGAAAAGGGGTAAACAGTGAAGTGGCAAAATTTTGCAGATTATATAAAATGTCTTAAGGTTCAAAAAAGACCTAGATAAGTTCATGGCAGAAGATCCATCAATTGCTATTAGCTAGGATGGGCAGGGATGGTGTCCCTAGCCTCTGTTTGCCAGAAGCTGGGAATGGGCAATGGGGGATGTATCACTTGATGATTACCTGTTCTGTTCATTCCCTCTGGGGCACCTGGCATTGGCCACTGTCGGAAGACAGGATACTGGACTAGATGGACCTTTGGTATGACCCAGTATAGCCTCTCTTATGTTTAAGACAAAAATTTTAACCCTTTAATTTTTAAATTAGGGCATTTCAACACATGAAGGTTAATCCTGAACAAGGTAGGGTGTGAATTTAAAATAGGTTAACTGTTTCTGATTAACTCCATGAGTGGAGACTCTTTTTCCAGAATAAAGGTGCCACTTTGAGTTAATCAGGACTATCTCTTCTGGAATAACTCCCCTTAGCCACCTAAATAGAAGTGGCATAAACTTAAAATATGCTTATCACCTACAGCTCCTGTTGACCCCAGTGGAAGTGTAGGGGTTGCTCAGCACCTCGAACAATCAGGCCACTTCTGTTACGCGTGTAAATATTGATGTAGGCACTCGGTTTTAAAAATTGTGGCCTGTACTTCTGGCTATAGGGCAGTGCTGTGATATGTTGCATAGTTCTGCAGATTGTAAAACAGCTTGCAGGACAGCCAGGGAGTATATTTTGGGATTTTTTTTTTTTCTGGCAAGCAGATGCTGGAGTGCAGAAGCAGTCTTTCAAAACTACACTTTGGAGCTAAATCATTTGACGAATAGTCCTGATTTGACAACTTCCTCTTAGTTGCAAAATGTGGGTTTTCTTTGTTAAACCTTTTCCTGGAAAATGTTTACTACTTTAGAATAAAGCTGACATAACGTATGACAGATAAATTGTAATGGGTAGTCCATAGCTATAATTGGTTGCAACAGGAACATGAAAATGAAATGTGGTGGTCAGTTCTCTTATGCGTTTGTTGTATGTTATAGGTTCATGCCTCCTGATGATCCTCTTGGCCGTCATGGCCCAAGCCTTGACAATTTTCTAAGGAAGAAACCTATTGTACCGGAACATAAGAAGCAACCATGTCCATATGGTAACTTGATTTAAATGCAGAATTTATTGTATGGTTAGGGATAAAGGCCAAACTGCTTCCTTTCTTTATAGCTGTGCCAATAAAAGTAAGACATTTTTACAGAGCTATCTTATATTGACAAGGACTGAAATCCTGACTCTGTTGAAGTCCATGGGAGTTTTCCCATGGATTTCAGTGGAGCCAAGATTTCTGCTGACACATCTTATTCATTTATCAGTTGGAAAAGAATGTGTTAGTATTTGTATCTACCACTTAAACTAAAGAAATAACTTCATTAGCCATCAGTAAGTACCAGGAGGTTAGTTACTGGGGCCCGCCACTACAAAGAGCTTTGTTCACATTGACTAAGCCAGTATATTACATGCTCCTCCTGCAAGGCAAGCTAGACTTGGTCATCTAAGGTGCAGAAGAGATTTTAGTCTGATTTGGGGTACCATCATGTCTAATGTGTGTGGCCACAGTGCATTATAAAGTGATACCCCAGATGGAACTTGAACTCCTTTGGCCTTCAGACACTCAGGACAAGCTAGTTGAATGTGGAAGTATATAATACATTAGCTTTTTGGCTGTGATCATGACCCCACTGTTGCGGATCCATAGGATCGGAGCTGTGCCCACAACTATAGAACAGTCTTTTGGAGGAACCCCTTTGATGGGCCAGACTCCCCAGGGGTCTCATTCTTCTTTCAAGGTAGGCCATACAGCCTCACCACCTCCTTAGGCTGAAACTCTGGGCTTCAGCACTCCTCCTTCACACCATGTGCTTTGTTCAGTGTGTTCAACTGAGACAGACTGCTGTCAGAAACTTGTATGCTGTTCTTGGGATTAAAGCACCTCACCAAGCATTTACAGGGACACTCAAGCAGTGTTTTCAAAACAGTAAGATTTACTAGTCAACTGGAACACAGCACAGAAAATCCTTAGGTCAGCCAAGCTGTAGTGAACTCCATTTTCAGGCTCTGTTTCTGTCCAACCTCCTCAGTTAGTTCCCAAGTGAGAACTCCCAAACTTCTTTCAGAGCTCATGCTTATCTTCCACCTCACATCTTCCTGTCCTTTGTTCTTGAGCTGGGGTCTCTACTCACCTTTGCAGCTGAGAATGTTACATTGTCTCTCTAGACCCCTTGTTGATCTAGGCTGGTTTCAGCAAGTTCTTTAATGACTCTCTTCATTCCACCCAGACAGGGAGGTGACACATAAGAGACACCAATGTCTCTTAGCCTTCCCTGAGAGTAAACTTAGTGTTGTCGTGTGTGTCATTCCCCATTCTCCACCCACCCGCCCACCCACTGGGTAGCTATGCAACTTATAGGGGAAACTGAGGCACACATGGGGATGGGGAATTACAAAAAATTCCCACTCCAAGAACAGCCTCCTACATGATAAAAAATTACTCCTTCAGCTCAAATGTTAGTAGCTTATGTTTCTGGTGCCAGGGGTTACTGGTTTGATCACACTGACAACCATGAGGTCTATATGCATGAAAACTGATTATTACACATGCATAATATTTAGTTCATCTCACTAGCTTTACTTCAAGGAAGACTTTTCCTTTAAATAAAATGAATAAAATATGTAAAGGTTGTGGATATTACTTAAAAGTAGGCAGAAAATTACATTTTGGAGGGGTAGGAAGGGTGGAGTTCAAAACCATAGATCTCAAATGAAAGCAAGATTCGACTCCACATGATGCTCAGTTTAGGAGAGCAGTGGAAGCATGGGAAGGATGTTTCAGGACAGAATTGAGATACATTGGCAGTCTAGTGAATATTTCCTGCTTGCACTGTCTCAAGCTAGTGCTATATAGGTCCTTTACCTTCTTGAACATTACCACAATCTTTTCCATAGAGCAAGAAAGTAGGTTTCAAGGCCTCACTTCGGTGACACACAGTTCAAAAATCTTTTCAATTCACTCACAAATTTTAAAAAATTGAGAGCTTCCAATTCAAATGCCTAAATAACTTTTTCTTTCTTTTTTACCTCAAATTGTATGACTTTTAATAGGAAAGAAATGTACCTATGGACACAAATGCAAATACTACCACCCAGAAAGAGGAAATCAGCCTCAGCGGTCTGTTGCTGATGAACTTCGAGCCCTGTCTAGAAGCACAGCTGCCAAAGCTGCAAGTGAAGGAGGACTGGTAAAAAGCAACAGTGTTCCTTGTAGCACTAAGAATGATGGCACTTCTGATCTCAAACGTGCTGCTCCAAAGAGGCAATCAGATCCTAGTATAAGGACTCAAGTCTACCAAGACTTGGAGGAAAAGCTTCCCACCAAAAACAAATTGGAAACCAGGTCTGTTCCTTCTTTAGTTAGTATACCGAATTCTTCAGTTGTAAAACCCCAAAGTACTGCACCTTTAAGCAATGGCCTTCCATCCGGGGTTCATTTCCCACCTCAAGATCAAAGACCACAGGGACAATATCCTCCAATGATGATGGCAACCAAAAATCATGGAACGCCAATGCCTTATGAGCAGTACCCAAAATGTGAGTCTCCTGTGGACGTAGGCTACTACTCTATGCTGAACGCTTATTCGAATCTAAGTATTTCTGGTCCACGCAGTCCTGAAAGGCGTTTCTCCTTAGACACCGATTATAGGATTAGCTCTGTAGCTTCTGATTGTAGCAGTGAAGGTAGTATGAGCTGTGGTAGTAGCGATTCCTATGTGGGTTACAATGATCGGTCTTACATGAGTTCACCTGACCCGCAATTAGAAGAGAACTTAAAATGCCAACATGTGCATCCACATAGCCGCCTTAATTCACAGCCCTTCCTGCAGAGTTACCATGATCCTTTAACAAGAGTGCAAAGTTACAGTCATGAAGAACCAAAGCATCATCACAAACCTCCTACTCCATACATGTCTGTACATCTACAGCATCCTACAGTTGGTGCTCGTTCTAGTTGCCCTAATGACTACTCTGCTCTTCAAAGTTTGCAACATTCAAAGACCATGCATCTGGGGAGGGCCCTTGTATCCACAAGAATAGATAGCATTTCAGACTCACGTTTATATGATAATTCTCCATTAAGACAAAGAAAGCCTTATTCCAGCCAAGATGGGCTTGGAAGTTGGGATAGGCAGAGTTATGGGATTGATGCGTACGGCTATCGTCAGACTTACTCCTTGCCTAGTAACCCCACTCAGCCATGTTACGAGCAGTTCGCCTTCCAAAGTTTACCTGAGCAGCAAGACCAGACTTGGTGCATACCTTACTGTGGAATTCCTCAAGATCCTCCAAGGTATCAAGACACACGGGAGAAGGTTTATATAAACTTATGCAACATCTTCCCTCCTGATCTTGTGAGAATTGTTATGAAAAGGAATCCTCACATGACAGATGCTCAGCAACTTGCTGCAGCCATTTTAGTGGAAAAATCCCAGCTAGGTTATTGAAAGATGATGCATCTTTGTGGTGTCTAGTAGTTTTCAGTTCAGCTCTAATGCTGAGGGAGGTTTGCTACAATAGCATATGTGATCTCCTTCTCAGCAAGGAGGTTATATAGTAATCCATTTATGTGAAAATACAGTATCATGGAATCTGTATGTATAGCCCCATGCATTGGAAGTAACAGGTTGGTTTTACATTCTAACTTGAAATTTTTAAATGGTTTTAAGCTATGTTCATGACTGAAATCTTTCCAGTCTAAGTTTAATATATGTGTGTATGTTATCTGTGGTCTCCGGTAATAATCTTTGGTGCATCAGGGGTTTATATGCAGCACTTTCTATCTTTTTGTTATATGTTTTATTAACTTACTGGATGTTTGTCCTTCAGCTGCAAGGCATTAAAAGAATCTGCAGAAAATTGAAAGAATTTTAATAGACCTGGCAAACAATTTTCAAGCCAAGCTTAATTTGAACTTTTAACAGCAATTAATTTATTATTATTTATTTATTTTGTGGGCTTCTTTGTGCTATAATCATTTATTTATAGAAAACAAAGATTTACTATGGCACTGACTTTATTTTTTAAATAAACTATTAAGTTACCAGTTAAAGTTGAAATGGGTAACGATATATTAGTAATTTACAGTATGGCACTTTTCATTGCTCTTTTAAGAATAGTTTTTAATGATTTGATTCGGTTGATTTAGTAAGAGCAGATGCAATCAAAAGTAAACGAACTCATTTCCGTTACTTTTTGGATAAGGCAAAGCCTGGTGGTCTGATTTGCAAAGATTCTGAGCATATGCAACTCCCTTTAAATCCAATAAAAGCTGCAGCTGCTCAGAACTGCCTAAAATCAGGCCATGAATGTTTCAGTTCAGATACATTGTTGTCCAGCTCTTCTGTGCTTCTGGTCAGTAGAAATGGAACTGAAAGTTTAGGATTCCATTAAATTGTTTTATATTCATCTTTTTTTTTAATTTGTATTTGTGCACAGGTGTACTGGATAAAATATGCTTTTTCATAAAATATTTACCTGTTTTTAAATGAATCTAAGTATTCTCAATGCAAGTTTTGTATTTAAGATACTGTTCAATTTTCTTGCTATTTATTAAGGCTGGCCTGAGACGGTTTTGTGTGTTGAGGATATGCAACATTTATTAACTGCACTATGGTAATAGTATTGTAGCTGAAAATGATAACTTAAACCTTTTTGTAAGATACTGTATATGTTCCAGAAGTTAGTTTTTGGCCTGTTGTATTATGTAGGCCTAATTCTTGCCACAAATAGTATAGCTGTAGAAACAGATTAAAATAGTCTGTTCTAGTATTAGTAAGGGATATTTCTGGTTTTAAGTTATGGGTTTTACTATTGCTTCAAACTTTTTTTTTATACAGGGTTTGCAATCATTGGCAGAGGGTTGTATTTACATGATGTAGTCAGTTGCCTATAGTTTTAGGATTCCATATAAAGTAACATTGTTCAGTGTTGTTAATTCACTGGTTTACAATGTAATTGATGATAATTTTGATATACTTGCTGCAATTTAAAGTAAGGCCCTGAAGAACCAGAAAGTACCTATACTGTTGATACAAATTGTATCTTTTTAACTGAGAACTATATTGATTTGTAGATCTAGTTAAAACACAAATGTGTAACTATAATTAGAATTTTGGGCAACATTTTATCCCTTATTTAAAATAATAGATTTCAATCTAGAATAGAGTTAGACAAATAAAAATACAGTAATTTATTTAGATAAGTGTCTGTCTCAATTTTATATTTTAATAATTTTGTTTTTAAAAAAGCTATTGGCATTTTCTTCCTTCTAAAACATACCTAGTGTGAACTTACTAAAATAAAGGTAAAATGCTGCCTGAAAATAATGTCCAAGCACCTTTTGAATAGGAAAACATTTTCACTACTTGTGTGACACTGTGTGTTGCAAGAAGTAGGATTAGGGTATACAGTAAATGCTTCTAAAAAGCATTGAGCTTATAGACGTATTCAATAATCTGAACCATGTTCAGCAAACTTAATTCAGGAAGTGTTCTTCTCTACAGCTTTTACAGTTGATTTTTTGAGGTGGGATCTGCATTCATCTGTCCCTTGTAACACAATACAGGTGGTGCTGTACATAAGCTATCCTGAGTTGTTTAGGGGGAGAACCTGTTCACCTGTGACAATATTTTTTCCCTTGATTTTCTTGGTCACTATCTGTAGAACATGTTTTAATGTAGAAGCTAGTAAAGTGCGACTCTGAGGTTATAAACAGTAAGTGAGTCTTGTCTTAGTTGTACACTAAGATTTTTTTAATCAAATTACACTTTTAAGTAGTACACCATAGTGTAGGTGCATCTGTTTTAATAATTATATTAGTGTTTTGTCTCTAATGCATTTCTACATTTATATTTGTATGTATGAATTAACTTCTACCAAAAGCTGAATTCCTTTAAACGTCTGAAGAGATGTGTATGTAATAGATGCATTTCATTTTTTTTCAGTCAGGATGTCTCCTAATAATGTAGCAATTTGATATATAATATTAAATCATTAGTCTTGTCTACATTATTAAAATGGTGAGAGGAGTAACAGGGCACTGTAGGCTGCAGTGCACAGATAAGAGCTATCAGCATTGGATGCTTTCTTGTATATGTAATACAGTATTGAATCATTTAAAGCAAGTTGATTGCTAGAAGCATTCTTATACCATGTCAAATTGTGCTTTGTCCTAAAGCACTAAAATTGCTTTACAAAATGTAAGAACAGGAGTTATTTGGCAGCTTTTAATATTGTGCAATGATATGCTAGTTCAATTCCAGCTTTGTTATATATATATATATATATATATAAATGTACTGCTGACAAAATATTCCCCGTTGGTATTTCTCTCTTTGTGATTAATAAAAGCAAATGAGCAATACCTTCCATGAGCTCGTCATCCTGGAAGAGTTCACTCTAGATATTTAATAGCTTAGAGAAATGACACACCAGTATGTATAGGACAGTGATAATACTGGTGAAACTTTACATTTGATTTATGTTAAATGCATTGATGCAAATAATATAACTGTAAAATAAGGTGTGATTAATATATATATATATAAGAAGTCAAACTGGGATATTGACTGCTTGCCTTTACTCTGTTTGAATAATATGGCTTTCATGTGTGGATAAAGTATTCAGAGCGAAGCCTTACGCCATCATTGAAAAGAGGAGAACATTTTACTTTGTCTGCAGTATTTTTAGGAGAATTATTTTGATACATTTACCATAAATTATGTATTATAAAAATAAAACTCTGCTTTTATAGATGTACAATATTTTATATGGTACACGTATTTCCATAATACATCCACTCACAACTTTTATTTTTCTAGCTAGATTGTCAATATTAGCTTTTTAAACACATCTCAAAGATACCTTTTTTAATTAGTTAAATGTGCATGGGCAATTCTTTTCTTGCTAGTGTTTTAACTTCAGTGAAATAACACCAAGACTGAGTTTGGCCCATATTTTATATCAAAGCCAGTCTTAACGACTGTTCCCACTGTGTAGGATTTTTAAAGAATTCTTCCTTTTATCTTTAAATCTCAGTTACCACCAACTACTATTCTTCTGAGGTAAGATATTGTCTTTGCAGGTAATCTCTTTTGTCCAGTATGTCTAAATTAAAAAATCAAACCAAACTAAACCCTAGCAATTGGGATGGCAGAGCTGAAAGTTTCACATTCAGCCTAATAAAATATTGTTCAGGCTTAGGGTGACTACAGGTGGCGTTCACATTTGAAGGTCAGGAAGTGAACTGTTGCTGTGTTTTTGGCCCTTCTTGGAAGGTGTATGTGAATATACAAAGAGAAGAGGAGAGTTTGGCCTTAGGGGTAGGAGGAGAATATCATCTAAAAATAAAGATGTGGATGAAAACCAGAGTATCTTATTTAGTCAAACCTAAAACTCTGCAGCCTTTACCTCAGGAAAGTGACAGACTTATGAAGAAACATTCTTGGCTGGGATGGTGGATGTGAAGGTTTTCAAGTCTAGGCACCACTATCGCCACAGTAAGCAATTACCAAAACATTTGTCAGGTGAAGATTTGAGCAAGAGGCTTTTGGTATGTTAGGACTGAAATACTGACACACGGCTATCATAATATCAGAATGTTTAAAAAATATCCAATTGACTTAACATTGTTATCGGACAGGTATAATACTGTGCAATTAAGAGACCATTTTTAAAAATAAAACATAGTTTAGAAGTTATTTTTGATTTACAATGTAAGTTATTCTTGTTAATTTATTACTTGCATTATAAAGATGAGGTGGAATATCTTTAAATCTAACTTTTAATTACTATAGAAGAAAAATATCAAAACAAAGCAAATTATTGATTAAAGCAAAGATATCCTTAATGGCCATGTTTTGTTTTAAAAAGTTAGGGTTTTTTAAATGTCTGATCTCACATTTTATGTATTTTGTAAATTAGAAAAAAATGGAAGCCATAGTATAGTTTAAGAATGTTATTTGAATTATATAAAATACATGTAGACGTTGTTTAGCTTGGATATGTAAATAATTCTGTAGTAATCCATTTTAAATAACTGTTCTAACTAAAACTTTTCTAGACAACTACACTTGTATCTAGACATTACATTCACGTCTGTGGGAAAAGTTTCACTTATGCTCATCCTAAGACTTAATCAGCAACTGGTGTTCTGATGATCTAATCGTGTATATCACTGGGCAGTCTGTGCACATGTGAAACTTACTCCTGTATGTACTTTTTTGCAGTGCATTACAAACCTTTATTTTTAAATATAAAATACACAGTAGCAGCATATAAAGGTTTCTACCAAATTATAGTGAATTCAGTTAGTAACTGTAGAATGCTATACATAGTTTTGCTGGCTCCGAAATTCAGTTCTTAGAGTGTTCAGTTTTTTAATTGTATTCTACTATATCTATGTGTTAATGATCTAAGTTAAAATTGTTATGCCCTCTTTTTAAAGTGTGAAAAGTTTGGCCTTTGTTCTCAAGAGATTTTTTTCATTCCTTATTTAGTCTTTGTAATAATTTGAAACCCCCATCCTGCAAAAATGTATTCATATGTCTAATCTTAAACACATGAGTAGTCTCATTAACTTCAATGGGACTACTCCCAGGTTTACAGCTAGGCATGGGCATAAGTGTTTGCAAGATTGGGGCCTGAGTCTGGGTATATTTTAGACTGGAACCTGGTGAACATTTTAATGTGTAGGATCAAATTCTCTGCTTTTATAAATGGGTGAAATGGCACTAACACCAGCAGAGAATTTGGCCAGCACTGCACATGTTCTAGTGATTAAAATGCAGACAGATATTTCCATCTAACAATTTGTCCAGATTCTGATTCACCCCACATAATCTATTTTTCATTTTGTAAGGCAACTTTTTTCTCAGGTGAAGTATAATTTAGCATTTGAAAAAAATTGAGTGGAATTCTTAATGAGACTGACATTTAAAAAAAAAAATCTCACCAACAAAATACTAAAATGCATACCTGGTGGCACGAGTCATGGTCTGTTTTGTTTTGTTGTCTCTCTCTCACACACACACGCACACCGTAACTTGTATTGATTAGGTGGGATTTTAGTGTTTGTCCTGACGTCCCCTCTGGCAGAAAAAGCTTGTCAGAGAACAGTTTGGACCACCTGATAAACTTAAACTTACTCTCTGCCTTCGCTGGCTGTTGTGTACTATTTCTGTGATGTGACTGTTCACATCTGTTAGCAGTATTTTCGAGCTTAAGAAAAACCATTGCAAAACATGTACATGGAATTCTTCTATTAGAGAAAAAATAAAGATACCTTTTCTCACGATTGGATTGTTTTTGTTTCATATAAGACAACCTTGCCAGAGCAACACAAATGCTAGCAATGAAATTATAAGTGTCATTCATAACTACACAATAAAAACTTTTTGCTTGAACTTGGTACAGCTAATATAATTCAGTATAGCTAAAGAAAGCATTTTAAATGCATAATAGGTTCATGGACTGTCAGTTCATTCTTAGAAGTAATTTGTGTTTCATTGATTTAACTCTTGTCCCCATGGCATATATTTTTAATTTCCCTAATACAGAAAATACAGGCAGTTAAATAGGATTGTCAGTAATTTAGCAGCAGAATTTGTATTAGAGGCTCTGTGTATGAACAGACCTTGACTTCTTTCAAATACTGCCATCAATCTGTTTTTTAATTGCATAATCCTGGTAGTTTGTACGGAAAAGGATTGTGTGGTAACAAATAACTCTAAGTCAAGGACAGTACAAACTACCAGCCTTTGGAAAGAGCTCTCAAAAACAGGGATCTCTGCTTCAATGGCCACTGACGATAATGTGGGTGAACAGACAAGGGTGAGTGTTAAGAATGACAATGTAAATAGCACTCCACTGCGGAAACAATCCTATACTGCTACCAGTGCGTTTTGAGTGCTGATAAATTACAGGCCTAAGACCAATGTTTTGCACAGGTGTGAGCTCTTGCTGTGATGTTACATACATCCTTGTCATTTCATTGGCTGTTCAGTGACATTGCATCATCACAGGGCTTCTAAAATAGAGACAGTGGATTGAAAATACAAGTTTCCTGCTAACAAGGAAGTCTGACAAGACTACAGCAATGCATCTCTGAGAGTGCTGCTCACAACGCTCATTTCTCATATGCTTTGTCCAATGTCTCTCCCTTTCGTAGTAGGGGAAGAGCAATTGGTATGAAACTTGCTTCCATAAAATGCTACTAACCGTTAGGCAGAAAGCACTTACCAAACTCATGCTTGAATGTGGTGCTTTTGGTGCAGTACTATAAAATAATCTGCTTTCATTATCTTTTTCTGATAGGCTGTTTCACTGCCCAATTGCTCCAGAATAATTTTTCTCTCTAAGCTCTTCTTTGCTTCAACCCATTGGTACTTAACTTGCCATCTGCTGACACTGACTGACTGACTTTCATTATAGTGTCGTCATGTATAATTATGACTCCTTGCATTTTTTCTAGACTACCTACCTCTCATCGCATGTACTAGCCTCCAGTCCTCCTATCGTTTTTGTGTGTTTCTTTTATCAGTACTGTGGTAACCAGTTCTGTTTGGGCCAGGCCCATGCTATGGAGCAGGGCTAGTAAATATTACATCCTCAGAACTGGCCTAAAAGAAAAAGTTGCAAATTTAAAGAAATGTCAGACCTTAACTTTGCCTGTTATCCAACTGCACTATGATAGTCTTTTACATGATCATCTGTAAATGTTTTTTGTGGCTACAGATACATGTGTAATATAAATGCAGTACTGTGTATAACTCTGTATTCCACAATCAATAAGTCATTTATTTATATATATATAATATATAAATTTTAAAAAGTCAGTGAATGAGAAAAGGGCCTTCCAGGATTGTAAAAAGTGTGGTAAAGTCCCATCAGCTTCAGTGGGAGCAGGATTTGGCCCTTTCTGCAGATACACAAAGTGCAATTTCCAAGAGCATTTAAATGACTTAGGAGCACTAGTCCCCCTGACTTTCACTGAAAGTTGTGGTCCCAGACATGTAACATTTGTCTTCATGAGAGATTTAACTGTGTTGACTGAATTTTTTCCTTAAGATGCTCTGTGTTCACACATCAGTACTCCTCAGGTGTTTCCATAGTCACACTGTAAGCGAAGCAGCCACAATATCCTGAGGTGTAGGGCAGACCCTAAGTTTGCTTGTCTTGCATGTTGCTAAAGTGTTTTGGGAAATCCCACTCCACAACTGCCAAATCAAAATCATCTTTCCTTAAAACATTGACAGGTACCGCCTACTGAGAGCCAATTCTCTCTGCAGTCAGGTTTTCTAAACCTTTTATCAGTTTTTGTTGCTGTATGATCTGTTATCACCCCCAGGCCTTCCTCTGCAGTGTATTACTGCCTAGCCAGTTATTCCCCCATTTTGTATTTGTGCATTTCATTTTTCCTTCTTAAGTGTAATGCTTTACACTTGTTTTTATCGAATTTCCTCTTCATCTTGGCTTCAACCCAAGTCTCCAATTTGTCAAGAACCTATTGAATTCTAATCCTGTCCTCCTAGACCTGCCTTGGTATTATCTCTACTCCATTATTCAAGTCATTAATACTGAATAGTATCAGACCCAGGACAGATAGGCAGAGCCCCCACTAGATACATACTCCTGGTTTGACAGTGAAACATTGGTAATTGCTCTTTGAGAATGTTTTTTCAACCAGTTTTGCATGCACCTTATAACTTCATGTAGACCACATTTCCCTAGTTTGCTTATGAGATTGTCATGTATGATTGTATCAAAAGCATCATTAAATTACTGCAATGTTGTCTAGTTCCTGGAATAACTAGTACCCTCCTGATTCTTTCACCTATTCTTAATTTAAATGGGCACTACGTTTTCCATTTTCCAGTCACTGGATAACTAACACATTATTTTTGGGTAGTACTTTCAAAGGGAAGAAATGATATTCCTCAGAACATATGCAATTAAAAGAGCAAGTATGTTACATTTAATGTATGAATTACTACCATCATATAACTACAACACTGAGCAAAATTATTTAAAAAACTAAATTTTTATAGCATCTACTGTATTTAGCCATACAGAGATGAATTTAAGTTCTACGGGTTGAAGGACCTTTCACTAAGTCTTGCTCAAACAAAGGAGAGAAAAATGCAGCCCCGAGGCAAAAATGTATATCATAATATATAGGTAGAAAGTACTTTAGGTCTGTTCAAGTGGAGGACATAGAGCCATAATTTTCTCTTAATTATGTGGATGCAAGCCTACTGCAAGCTGTAAGTCGTATTGATGTGGTCAAGAGCTAAATTTATCCACTCATTTGCACATATAGATATTAAACTAAGGCCTTGTCTACATTACCCGCTGGATGGGCAGTGATTGATGCAGGGAGGGTCGATGTATCGTGTCTAGTCTAGATGTGATAAATCGACCGCTGAGCGCTATGCCAGGGCGAGAGGCGCAGGCGGAGTCAACAGGAGCGAGTCAGCCGTTGACTTACCGTAGTGAAGATCTACGTACTTAGATCTACGGTAAGTAGATCTAAGCACGTCAGCTTCAGCTACGTTATTCACGTATACATGGGTTGAGCCCACAGGCCAAGATCCCATTAACAGATAAAGTTCTCTCCTTTACTGCTGGAACCCTTTAACCAGCACACTGAAAAGTTTCCTAAATACAGATCCCGTCATCTAGTAATCCTGGCTGTGGCAGAACTGACTTTCCAGAGCAGTCTGTGCATTTTCCTTCCTGCTGAACTACCCCTCACCTTTTATGGATCTATCTCCTGTGCACCAGATCTCTCCCTTCTCCCACATGCTACCTTACCCTCACCTCTTCAACTCTACCCAGGACTGCATGTGATCCATATTCTGCTGATTAATACCTGGACTGATGTCTCTGTGGCTTAGGATACCCTTAACCAATCCTGGAATGCTCTATGAATTGGACTATAATTAATGTCACTATTTACTGTAGTTGTGCTATTAAAGTTGGGATTTAAGGCATTCCAGCCCATCAGTAATTAGGCAATACTTAAAGTTAGTACTTAAGACTGAAATAAACAAGAGTAAGTTCCTGTAGCTATGACATAAATTTGTACTTAAGCACATTCTATAGATCTTTATAGCCTAGCATATCAGTCTATTATGGCACTTTTATTAGCACAGATACATATATATGGGGAGGGATAGCTCAGTGGTTTGAGCATTGGCCTGCTCAACCCAGGTTGGGAGTTCAATCCTTGAGGGGCCATTTAGGGATCTGGGGCAAAATCAGTACTTGGTCCTGCTAGTGAAGGCAGGGGACTGGCCTCAATGACCTTTCAAGGTCCCTTCCTGTTCTAGGAGATAGGTATATCTCCATATATTTCAAAAATGTTGAACAAATCCCTCCAGATGCCCTGTATCTAACACATCCCAAACATCAGCTAGTCACTTGTAACATTTCATAAACCCATTTGTAGCTGTTTCGTGCAGACAATCTGTCAGCAACTAGAACAGAGCAGCATTTATTTGCTGACCTCAAAGGGGACAGGTCTGTTACATTGGACCATTTCAGAAACACTACAAATAAGGCCAAGGAATGTTGCTTAACTTAAACCATAGAATAAAGCTGTTTTCCTCCCTCCCTCCCCTCCCCACCCCAATTGGTAAGTTTAATACATCTGAGATGTTATTGCATATTAGATTGGCTCCAGGCTGGTCTCTGACTTTTTTGATTTCTGTCTTTGAGCTACCACTACCTTCATACATTAGTTGAATATGATTTGGCCTCTAAGGACTGTCTGTAATCTTCTAGGTTCTTTGAGGTCCCCCATGTATGGCTCTGAACTGTCCATCTTGGTTGACTAACGAAAGTGGAACAGCTGGAGTGCCAATCAGTTACTCCCTTCCCATAAGTGATTTTAGAGCTACATCTGGTGGCCAGACATTTGTTGTTCTCCCTTTCTTAAATTGGCCCCCTGCATTTGGTTTTGTTTGGAAAAAAGGTCAGTATCATTATCCCTGTTTCACAGATGGAGAAACTGAGGCACAGAGTGGTGAAGGGATTTGCCAAAGATCCCACCAACAGGCTCGTGGCAGAGCCAGGTCTCCTGGCCCTCGTCTGTGCTCTATCCACTAGGCAACACTGCCAGCGGTGCCGAAGGCAAAATGAACCCTTTACCACATTGCGATCACTTTCTTAGTCATTATGACAAACTGTTAAGAAGACAAGAAACCTGAGCTACTATAATCAGCTCAAGAGTAACAGTTTGGAGGTACCTGGGTAGTAAAACACTGAGACACAAGCTGACATTTATGGTTTTAA